CAGGGCTCAGCGCCGAGTAAATGGCAGTGTCACTGAGTGATTACAAAGATAAAGCAGCTTAATGCAAATAATAGGCCATTTGCACTAAGAGGTCATGTGACATCGTTTTTATGAAAATGAAAGTTGTATGACTTTTTCTTCGAAAAACGATTAGTGGGTCATATCTTAAAAAAAATAATAGTGATCAGGTTTGTCAAACCCGCACCATTTTCTTAAAATGAGTAAGTTCGTGGCTGGTCACGTGACCAAAATGTGATTTTAAAAATTATGAATTACCTCTTTCTGAATACAAATTTTGCTCTTAAAATTCAAGGAAAATGCTGAGAAGATGATGTAGTAACGTTTACAGCACATCTGAGCGAGACTATAAAACGTTCAACAAGGTATAAGCAAAAAGTAGTTTTGGCCGCCATGTTGGAGGGCAAGAGTATGCCCTCCAACATGGCGGCCAATACAAATCATTCTACTTTGTTGAAAAATCAAAGTGCCATAAAATATCTCCCTTAAATGCGTTTCCTCTCAAATTTCGCGTGTGAGATGATGTTTGTGTGCTCTATCAATTTTTGGCATCAGCAAGATTCCAACTCATTGTATTAAAGGAAGCATTGGTCACGTGACCTCTTAGTGCAAGTGGCCTATTGCAATGCAACGTACTAGTCCAGCTTAAAATGAATCTAGACTGCTCAAGAATAGCGAAGGAAATCCCAATGGCGTTAGTGGAATGTTTGTCGAGAGAAGGAGGCAGGCATTGCTTTATTCTTGCAAGTGACAAAAATAAAGAAAGATCAGAAAAATTTTCGAAGTAAACTAGTCGATGATTGCCCCAAACTGAGCAACGGACCCATTGAGACACAGAAACAAACGAAATGGATCGAAATCCACCAATCACAAACCATAACTTTTAGACCTCGTTCAAGGGACATCGGTTTCCTAGGCGGTCCACTAAGATGAGTGACGAATTAAAACAGATTCGTTATTCAAGGGAAAGGTTCACGGTTCAGCGCATGCTCATTTATCGAAACGCTGTCTTTCTGCCGCGACATGCTGTATCGTCTATGCAAGCAATATGATCATGTCATAATGATGTCAAAGAACCAATCTGCAGACTCCCTTAGCAGTCACTTGATCACCTTATGTGCAAATAACTGTAAATTAATCAACCATGGAATAAAACCTTCGGGTCAACAATAAATTCAACGTTGGTAGTGTTGACATAATCCACTAATTTTTTCTGCGATTTTAGTACTCCTCCATCCTACTTCTACACTCTGAGATCGCTGAGATACATGTTAGTGGAATCATTAACCGATAGAATTAATAATAAATGGGAAAAAGTAATGCGCATGCGCTTAACCGTGAACCTGTCCCTTTTTATATCCTTTGGAAAACTGGGTCGCCTCGTATTTTGAACTGGCTTTGAGTACAAAATCATGCGCAGTTTCATTGTTTAGATCTTAACTTGTGAATGGCTGATTTCAAAATGTCTCATTTTGTGTCTGGCCGGCCTCCGTTCGTGTGATCGCACTGTAAATTCTTACTATGATTAACTTTATTGGGTGCAATATTCCATCGGGATGATCTGGATCACGATCATCACTTAACTAAAATCACCTCGGTCAATATGATACAATAAAGGAAACGATGAGAACTTTCCCAGTTTCTTTGATGTGTTGTTATCCTAGTGATTTCCCATGTCTGAGCTACTCCTTAAAACCACTCTGGTTGAAATTTAAATTTACCACTTTTACATTATGAGGTAATTATACAATGGACATAATTTTCTCTATGGTTAGTGTAAATGATTATTATTTTTACTCCTCCTAGCCCAGTCATTGGCTTCATACAAAAAAAGGAAAATGACTCCATTCTTCAAATGGTAAAAATACATTTTTTTTCTTTTATTTTCTTGCGTATGAAGTAGATCAAAACGCACTTGCACAAAAACATTTCACTTTCAAAATATATGTAATTATGTTTCAAAACAAATTCACTGAATCTATGTTTCAAAAGGGGTAGTTTTTACATGTAGCTCCTTTTGGAGGGTTTTTAACAACAGTCTCAAGTACCATACAATAGCGATTCACAATTACTTGTTTCTGACCCTGGCTGATTCTTCCGAAACTCATTGCACCTATGGCGTTTTTTTTCTACAAAGGATCAAACCTAGAGAGTTCTGGCCCCCACGGCCAACGATTATAGTGGCAAGAAATGATTATGTTAATTCTAAAAATAGGACCTTGCACTTTGCTATTAGGTTATCCCAGAAAAAGAACACACTCAACCACCCACCCCCACTATCACCCATCCGGAATTCAATAAAATTGTTAGTTACTGTAGTAATAAATTACACTCAATGTAGAAGATTCCTTTAAAAATTTATATGATCTCTTTATGCACAGATTTTTTTTACTAAATTGATCCAAAGCTTATGGATTGAAACTTAAAATAAATACGGTGAAAAGTCTGTAGTTCGAAAGAATAATATATAGATTTAGCCAGGATTTAGCCAGGGCTAAAATCGAAGCCTCCGTTTCTATACTTACGATGAAGCAATCAAATTTAAACTAATAACATGAACTCTAAGCCAAAAAAGGAAATAAAAAGCCTTTGGCATCACTACACCTTCAAAGGGAGGGGCTAAATGATTGAGAAAAATATCCCACAAACAAACCTGAATTGAAAAAGTGAAATTGTAGGTCTCTTCAGTAGCAGCTATTTACAGGTTACGATTTCTACGGTCAGTATTTCTGTCTTAAAGGGAAGACCTAAGGGAAAATTAGGCCGACTTAGGGACTTTTGTGTTCCTGTAAGCCCATTATATATATTTTCTTTTCTTTTCTTATTCTTATTTATATACAGCCTCACAATACCTGATACAAAGGTTTACCGTAAGGTGTATATTTTCTTTGAGGAGAGACATAAGAAAGCAAACGATAACTTTTTTCGCTACCAATAACTTACTACATGTATAATCCAATCTTTCACCTTTTTTTTTACAAACTCAGGCTCGAAAAGCCGACGAGTCTGTCGTTAGAATAGAAGAGAACTCTTTCATATTTTAGATAACCTCACTTTTTGAGCGAGAATTTAAAGCCGTAAACAGACAACTGAAGACAAACTTCATTTAAGCGGTTACGAAGAGCAGCACACTGCAAAATTCTTGAATGGCAAGTAATAACTATGAAAATAAATAGTAATTCAATGGAATATGTACAAAAACAACACTTTAGTTTAGTGTTTCTAAAAATCTTACGATCTGTAGTCTCTCGATCGTTTGTTTAGCTAATGTTATGAATGAGCAATGACAGATGAATAAATTAATTAGTTGAAAATTTTATTCAAAAATCCATACGTTAATCCTAAAAAGCAATTCGCGTAACACTCTCGTAAGCTCTCGTTTGTCCAGAAAAAGGAAACTGAGCATTCTTTTAAACTTTCCCTTTCCATTTGTCTTTTTTGGCGTATTTTCAATCTTGAAGTACAAAAATTTAGTCTTGAAAACCACCACATGATGAACGAGCGCCAGCCATTTTGTTGATGGATGACATTTTCTAAGGTGTCAAATCTGCCTCTTCCCCCACCCCCTGTGTGGTTGACCATGAGGCTTTTGTGGGGAAGGGGGCTATGGGTGAGAATTTTTTCCCTCAAATCTCTGGAGTTAGAAATTTTTCCCCCGACATATAACAGTGTAAGATTTATTTTTCAGCATTATATACGTCATGAGCGATTTTTTGTTTCAGTGCAGGATATATTTTTCCCAGTTATATCCTTGCAAGCTTTTTCCCCTCGAAATCAGTCTGCAGGATATTTTTTCTGAAATCACCCATAACCCCCTCAAAAGTCATATGGTTGGCCCCTAAAATCCACCAAACATTTGCTCAGTGGACAGATTCTGATTTGTCAATCATTTCTAAAGCCTTTTAAAACAATAGGGGACAAACTCTCTAGGGGAGAGGGGAGTAATTCGTTTCCCACTTACCTCTACCTGTAGCGTGCGTATAGACATACGTAGGTATGTTCTCGGATGCATAGTTTACCAAATTTTCTTACGTATGGAGCTTCACGCTTGCTCGTGCGGAGGCTCCATTATTAAAATTTGAAAAATCAATTAATTTAACCTTTCAAAAACTTATATTATTGATTGAAGCAATGAAAACATAAATCCCGAGGATGTAGTTTTAGGTTCAGAACCCCCCTCCCATTTAGATTTCCAGGGGCTGTTACCCCCCCCCCCCCCACTCCTATGAGATTTACCAGTGTGCCAGGGGGGCTCTTTCAAGGATACAGCTTCTATGTGACAGGGTATTCTATACTCTGTGTCGATTTTTTGGTTGAATAACCTATTGGTGCTTATCATGATCAACCATAGCTTGCCATCTTTATCTTTTAGTTTCTCAGCCACACTTATAGTTAACTGTTGTTATTAAGCACCTCAGAGGAATTGGAGGCAGATATTTATTATTTTCTTGTTTCAAACAAGTTTTCAGTCAATGGAAAAAAATCTAAAAAGTAATTTTTTTAACATTCATTGGGATCTGTATCGAATAGACTGAGTACTATGTTGCAGCTTGAAGAAAGGACAATTCTCGATGCATGCGGGCCAGAAGCCAATAAATTGAAATCACAACAAAAACAGGAGGATGCACCTCTTCACCTCTTTATATTAGCCAGAATTAATCATCTGGTAATTACCAAACCTGATATTGATGGTGCATTCACTCCATGTCACCCAATAAATTTTTAAAGTCTATTATACTTTATGGTGTAGTCTTACCTTTGGCTCCAAATCCAACTTTCTGTCAACTTCATACAAAGACTGAGTCTTCCCAACGAACCGTTTCTTTAACTTGGGTCTTTTAAAGGCATGATAGCCCTGAAAGAGCTGAGAATAATTTTACATCACATCAATAATAATCTTAATATTAACCAAAAAAGACCATCTCAGAAGGTACTAAAAGTCAAGGTTATCAAACAGTTTAATCTCTTCTTTAGGGAAAATCACACAATCAGGCTTGTCACGGCATTTTGCTTACATAAACTCAAATGTTGTATCAAATTGGCTATTATTCATTCAAGATATTTGCTGCTGTTTATTGGCTCAAATTAATCTACCAGCTAATCCTTCATAACAATGCAAGCAAAGTTGACCAAATTTGCAAGATGCGAGCAATATACATGTACAGTGCATTATGACCTGGGCATGAGAATCAGCTACGGTCCATTCACCTATGTTTAGAGTCAATTTGCCTTGTCTAATATGTAAGCTTGCCTACGTCTTAAAATCCTATTGCCTACTATATGACAATCATTATAAAAAACAGCTGATTAATCTACTTGATGTGTGATCGGGGTTGGAGTCAGTCAATTTGATCGATTTGTCACAATGACCATAATCTGTGGTTACATTAATCTAAAACCACCGTTATTTTCAACTGATTGCATGGATCACATGAAAGTGCATGTTTATTTTCTTACTCAGTCCAAGGACCGCGTGAAATCGCACAAAGTAACAAAGTACTTCTCTGACAAAGACTAAAGAGAAAAAGAGGACAAGCTGACACAGAGACAAGCTAAACACGCACAAGTTGACACAAAAAAACGCCCTCAACACCTTTACTAAGTTCATGGATCACATTTAACAAAAGACTTATTTATAACTGAAGTTTATGATTCAACAAGTGGCAACATCAAAATATAAATTGAACTGAGCTGTATAGTGTGAACAAGCTAATTTAGATGTAAGTACTATGTCCTTTTGACTTACATGTTAATGTAAAGTCTCACCCCCATTAGCACAGGCACTGCTCAAGTCACAAGTCTACTCAAAGAACGTCTTAACTTTTATATATAAATTTTTCATTTAAAAAGCTACGTTTGCAAGAAAGTATATGAACAAACAAAAAACTAGTTTACAGAGTTTATGATTCAACAAGTCGCAACATCGACATCTGAATTGAACCGAGCTGTGAAGTGTGAACCGATCAAAGCTAATTTTGTATATGTACAACATCCTTTAGAATAAAATATTATAGGTTAATACATTATAGTACAGGCACCGCTCACATGTCAGAAGTCTACATAAAGACTGTAAACAGTAGTTTAGTTCATCTTTATACACATCTTAAAGCTCAGTTTTACAATAACACGTTTTTAAAACACTTTTAGCAAAATATGATTCATACATTCTGTTTATAAATGACTGGTTTCTGATAATCAAGTTTTTAAAAACATCAGGGTCAAGGACTTTTAATAATTCAGTTTTAAAGCTTCAACATATGAATTGATGGTGAATTAACTTACACATTAGACGAGGCAAATAGACTTCTAGACCTAAGCGAAACAACTGGTTACCGAAAGAGCAATTAAGGATCTCTAGACAGTCTAGATGTATCAATATGTATGGACAAGATATTCGGCTATCCCACAAAATGCATTATAATTATTTTATCAGTTCTTCTCTCTCTTTTAAAAGCCCTGTAAAGCCCTTAACAGCTTGGTGTCCATTAGATCATTTACGCTAACTTAGCAATTACATTTAACAAATAGAAAATGTTTTCCGTGTTTGCATAGCCTGATATAAACACGAGAGGGGTTGGGAGAATTAAAGAAAGTAATGCAAACCCGAGACGAAGTTGAGGGTTTGCATAACTGTCGAGAATTCTCCCAGCGCCTCGAGTGTTTATATCAGGCTATGCAAACACAGGAAAAATGTTTTCTACTGCTTTTATAAAATAACTTTCCAGAAACAAGACGTAAAACTACTCATTGTATGGCACTGATTAAAAGACAAATTCTTACCAGTCGCGAAGTCTTGTACACGAAGCTTGTACGCGTAATCAGTCCTTGTTTTGCAAAAAATTAAGATGCTTTCCAAAATACCGGTTTTTTCTCGCTTAAAATGTCAGCTCAAGTGAAAAAAAATTGACACAGAATGTTTCTAAAGATTTTCCAAGTTTCAGTCGATGTTTAAATGGGTGAATAAAGTAAACTTGTTGAGGTTTTCAGCTCAAAACCTTTTTCAAATTCGTGCTTGCATGATTAGCGCGCGAAAAGCAAAACATCTTGATGTCACAACCATGTTTATGTACTCTCATGCAAACACGCCTCTCGGCCAATCAGAGCGCGCGTACTATCTTAGTTATTTTACAAAATTCTTTATAAATTATCTTAGGAAAGTCAAATTCATTTTTTATTATTATTCATTCAAAATAATTCCTAGTTTAAAAAAAAGCTAAAACATGCTTACCTTCGTTGACGATAAGTTCACCTTGACAGGGCTTCTGATAGGTCGCAGAAAAAAAAGTCAAATTTCGCGGGATTTTTAGGGACAAATTCGCTGAAAAGCAATCGGTAAAAAACAGCCAATTTTGTGGTTATTTTCAAGGCAAATTTCGCTAGGGATTGATCGGTTTTGCACCTTCCAGACCAGTGTTTTTAACGTTTTTCTAACAGAGGTCATCATTTGCTCCTTCAACAACAAAACGCTCCAGAAATGAACCAATGGCGAAGCCTTTAACATCATGGCTAGTGCCCAGTTTTTTGCAATATAATTGACGCCTGGTAGTTTCGGGACGTTGTTTGCATGTTTCAGTGACGAAGTTTCAAGATAAATGTGCAAGTTTATGGCAAGTAAATAGCCCTAATAGCTAAAATAATATGTTGTACAGACATGTATTTGATAAGATTTCTACCGAATTTCACGGTATTTTGCGTGTTTTTGTGAATTTCGCGGCTCCGCGACCGCGCAAAATATCAGAAGCCCTACCTTGATAGTGCATATTTAGAAGATAAAGGGCTGTTCAGGTCTGCAAATATACTCCAAATAGCAGATGCTGTCCGTCAAGTTGTCCTCTTGCTATGTTTTTAGACAATAGTTCGTCGTGAAACGAGTAAAATGTTCCGCCAACTGTTCAGCCATTTTCTTTTCACAACCAAAACAACCTCCTCCCCAGGTCTTCCCGGTTAATGGTGCATTAACCTGTAAGTGTGCTGCACTTTTGACAACAGCGGTTGATTAATCGCAAAATTCTTCCAAATTTGGTCAACAGTGGCTGGTTATGGTGAATTATGCGTGTGCTTTTAGCCAATCAGAAATGGAGAAATATTTTGAATGAATAATAATATAAATTATACTTTGGCTGCTTTTGTTTGACATTTTCTACATCAACATGAAAAAAGAATTAATACAGTGCACTGTGTGGCATTAAGAAATAAAATTCTCTGGGGATGTCTTTAAAGTTGTTCAAAATTAGCGAGTGCTATAAAATCTAAAACTTACTGCGAGTCGCACTCAAATTTTTAACCTTGATAATTTTTTTTCTATTTCTTTATTTGTGACGGCCCATCAAACTTGTTTAGTAGACCTTGTCACGGTTATCAACGCCATCTTAAGGAGTACGCAAACGCGTGAGAAATTACAGTGTTTGTATGAGAATCTAATTTCGAACAATTTCTGTAGAACAGCTGTTCAGAAAAAAATATGATTTGTAAACTGAAGCTTCACTCCTAATACCCTAGGTACCAGAGGTTTTTCTCGCATGCGGCGGAAATTTTTGGTGTTGGCCGAAGGCCGACACATCTTCGGCCGTAGGCCAAAGCCGCAAGAAAAACCTCTGGCACAGAGTGGTGCTTTTAACTGTCCCCATTGACCTTTGAGCTTTTCTTATCGGATTACATTTACGCCAATCAGATTGAAAGTCTCCAACTGTGCTCATGTGGGCCAGCACGTGAAAAAATGCCCAAAGACCCACGTTATTCTTAGAAAAACAAGTTCGAGTTTAAAATTCATTGCTTTATTAAAAAGAGCAATCATGACTGGGTCACATCGCAGTTCTTGATAGTTGATGTAGCTTCAGTTTAAGTTGGAATCCATTCTTCGAGATTTGGATCTGAAAATCACCATTCGTGAGAATTTAACATCCTGCTAAAAACGCTAACAAGCTGGGCCCAGCGTGACAAAACATTGCAGGAAACTGTCACTTTCATGGACAAAAAAAAAATTGCTCATAATTATTCAGGTCCAGGAGGCACTTTGGAGAAATTAAACAACCTAAAACCCTTATTTAGCCGCATTGAAGAGCTTAACAATTCAAAAGAGGTCAAAGATAATGCTCTTGCATCAGAGGGCAAACCATATGCCGACCTGATAACCGCAGAAAATCAATAAGCATGTCACGACCTCTCAGTATAAAATAATCGGCAAAAACCAAATTTGCTCAGTCAAAACGTTTTTCTCCAGAGCATAATCTACCCGTCACGGAAAAAAATTCATTGGAACAAGCAGCAGTTTGGCATGAGGTAAAAGTCATTTGTTGCCTTCCGACCCCCTTTTCATACTAAAAATACAGGTTTTGTTTTTATATTCCTAATCCATCAATACAAACTATTTCAAAACATGTTGTAATCATTTGAAATAGGAAATTAGAAAAGCTTTTACCGTATTGCTGCAAAAGCTGAATTAGCCTGTGAACAGGCCTTTGGTCGAGCGGGGAACTAGGGAGAGGGAAAAGCGAAAAGGCCTGTAGACAAACATTTGGGACCGCCGTTCCACGGCACCCGCTGTGCAGCAGATCCTGACGCAAGTTCTTATTGGCGAGAACACTGACTGTTGACAGGTCTGATTGACATCGGCTTTTCGGTCAGCACGTAGCACGCATTTTGATTACAAAGTGGAAATAACAAAACACTCCAAAGACTGTTAAGCTTGTTCAAAAGCTATCACCAAGGGAGGAACTAAGTGCTCCAGTCAAAAGACTCACACTATCTGTAGAAAAACACTAGGCTGGAGTTTACTGAGTCACAATGCAATTCTCCATAGTTGATGTAACTTCGGTTTAAGTTGCACTTGAATCTTATAACTTTGGATTTGTAAATTACTATCCGTGATAATTTTTAAACATTCTGCACTAATGAGCTGTGCCCAGCGTGATACAACATTTCAGAAAAACATTACATTCACAGACTAAAGAAAATCGCTTAGTTATTCAGACCCAGAAGGCACTTTGGAGAAAAGTAAGACCCCTATTCAGCCGCAATAAAAAGCTTTATGCTTCAAAAGAGGTCAAAGAAAATGCTCTTGCATCAGAGGGCAAATCCTGCCAACCAGAGACAAAAACCACAGTAAATCGATATGTATGCCATGACCTCTCAGTGTGAAACAAGCGGCTAAAATAACATTTGCTCAGTGAAAATGTAGAACCTTCCAGAGCATAATCTAGCCAGCAGAGGAAAAAACTTATGGGAACAAGCAGCATTTTGGCGTGAGGTAAGTGTCGTGTAGGCCTACGGGCCCCTTTTGTTGCTATAAATACGGGATAAATACCCAAAGGTGTAATTCCTGTCGGCGCTCGAAGCGCTGCTGATCTCTTTGTACTTGTCTTTGGAGGTTCACATTCTGGAGAAGTCATGATGGTATCTTTCGCTTTCCAAGTTCGCTCATTGCAGGGGCTTGTTAAATTAGAAACTGAACTAGCAAGACGAACGACCCTCACCCGTCGCGAACAAGTTAAGCAGCTTAAATCAGAAAAGCTTTCTCCTTGCTCAAGAGCAAATCTTGAGGATTCAAATGCTTGTGCTAGTACAAAGACTGGTAGCCTGCTGCCAAAAAAAGACTGGCAGGAGAAAGGAAAAAGGGAAGGGAGCGCCTGCTCTAAGAGCCTATGTTTTTGCATAACGCCTCTTTTCTAGTAATCCGAGATCAATCAAGTTTTTTTGGAAAAAACGACAATTAAGATCCAGAAGCCACTCCCCTTATTTCAAAAACTTTGTTTCAAAGTTTGAGGGCAAATCGGACCAGAAAACAAAACAAGGCTCATTTGAAACATGGGGCTAAAAATAACATTTTGTTACAGAACCTTCCAGAACAGGATCTACCCCAGATAAAAACAACTTTATTGGAATAAGCAGCATTTTGGCATGAAAAACCACCCTCTTTTGATTGATTGACAGATAATGATCTTACTGACAGATGTTCGGCAAGATAACTACAAGAGGGCAGAATAGCGGCTTCATATGTTTCTCTACAGGCTCTCTGCCCCCTCTCCCTTCCTTTTCCTTGCTATTTTTTTCCCAAACACAACACTTCTCGCGAGTCAACAGCAAAGTTGGAAATATTCTTTCACGTGCTGGTCTATTCTTGTCAACCAATTGTAGCGTCCGTTAGATTCAAAGTCCCTCAGGTGGTCGTTAGGAGCCAATCAGCCGTCGTGTCCAAAATCTGGACCAACTGATTTAACCGTGCTAACAATAATAATAATAACAATATACATTTTTCCTTATGGACACACAAAAAGTATCAACCGTTGTTTAATAATAACAATTATTGGATCGGTGCCATCAAAGCAATAGCGCTCTGCTCCAGAGGCTTTTCGCGCGGGTCACTATAAAGACTTGACAAAAACCGGAAACCGTGCTAGAAAAGTTTCTGGCACCCAGGGTACACTCCTAAGGATTCTACTGAAAAAATTTGAGGGCGTTACATGCACGAGAGGACCTAGAACCACTTTTTAAATTTCCTACACATTTGTCTGTAGGAAAGTCTAAGGAAAATTACAGCCAAACATATGAAAAATCTAAAGCAAGCCTCTGGAGAAATTTAAGTACAGGTCGCCTGCAAAATTTTTTAGGACAATCCTTTGCTTTGTAGCTTTAGTTTACAACTGATATTTTTTTCAGAACAGCCGTTCTACGGAAATTGTTCGACATTAGATTCTCATACAAACACTGTAATTTCTCACACGTTTGCCTACTCGTCAAGATGGCGTCGAAAACTTTGACAAGGTCTATACTTTTAGTTGACCGTCGAGCTGTAGAGAGAAAAACAAGTGCCCGAGCAATATGACGAGTTTAAAACGACGCTGAAAAATAATGTCGTATGTTCGACAAAAAAGAACGAATGCAAATACGGTCATTTCTAAAAGCATCTTTTAGCGACGGTATATACGAACTATGAATTTCGCAGTCGGGACATTTCTTTGTAATTTTCTGGATTTTAGGCAATTTACCGTAGATTCAAGCGAGAACAGTACAGAAAATAACTAAAACAGATTCATGTGTTCATGTTTTTTCTCGCTCTACATTCTACATTTGGCGTATACATTCGTCACGTCGCGTAAACTCGTCATTTTGCTCGCGCATTCGGTTACTTTTTTGCCTCCAAAGAAGCTTAAGCCAAGGTCCCCTAAAAGTAACGAAACGCAGCTGAACCAAATTGTTTGGTTCTTCTCTTACAGGCAAATATACATTTTTCCTTATGGACACACAAAAAGTATCAACCGTTGTTTAAATGAAAATTTTTTTTCACGGAAATGCATTAGCTATAATCGAAGATATTCACTCACATGTCTGTCGTATGAGAAACCATGCTTAATGGCTAACTCTTCCGCTTCTTGTTGACTACCACGGACTTTCACAGCCCAGACATTTGTGTAAATGTCTTTGGCACATACATAGGTTCCAAAGAACAAGATGATGAGGAGAGGTGAACAAAAAATGTTAGCCATTTCACTGTGTTTACAAAAACAGTACTGCGGCGCTGTGCTTCGTATTTACTTTTGCGCTAAGCGACCAGGCGTCCTACTTCAACTCCGCTAGCGAAGGCCTTGGTAACGAGGAACTACAAAAATATATCTTCGTATCTTGCAATAGAGCCAAAAAGGAAAGCGTTTTATAAATTGCAATTGCAAAAAGTATGAGTAGATGTACATGTCTTGTATGCATTCGTCTCCTTCTCTCTTAAAGATTTCGAGGGAGATAGGTATGAATGTTTAATATAACTTCCTTTAAAAACAAATAAGGAAAGGTCTAAACTCGTTTAAATTATTCCTGTCACGTTCTCAACAAACAGAGTTATATGTAATAATGTTCCATGAGAGTTTGCTCGCAGAATACTGATACTTTCTTTCTTTAAATTTTTATAAGAACGGTCAGCCTGAAATTTGCAAAACTATTAAGAACACAGTAAGAACATACCCGAGGATCAGAGAAGAACAACAAGTTATTTTTCACTACTTTTACTTTCCTAATTCCAGAAAGTCTGAAATTACATATCATATCCTACATGGAATCAGAGTGCATTGTAAATTTTGTTCTTTCAATCATGATATATTCCCATTGTGTATGGTCAATAGTGCGTACATTTACTGTTTTTGAAATTTAAGAACATCCGTTGAAACTGACCAGAAAATAAGAACGGTCCAGGCTTAACTCGAAAAGTAGAGGTTCTTATGAAAAAGAGTGTATTTCTTTAAATTTTCATCATTTAAGTACCCCAAAAGCCTAATAATTTTGAAACGTTGCATTTTCAACTTTACCCTGGCTTTAAAGGTCCGTTCTCAAAATACCCAAGATGAGGTAAACCGCGCCTCGTTGACTCGGCTTCACCGCGAACCATTAGTATCGATAAGAAAAAAATATCCTCTGGAACGCAGGGTACTTCAACTTGCGCCAAGGCAATTACAAATGAGCAGGAACAATAGATTTTCCTAGCATTAAATTTGGCATGTTTGAAATGTGACGTTTGAGACGGTCCTAAGTGCCCATCAATGCAAAGTTTATTAGCGTGACTGGAATATCATTTTCATTATTTTTGCGACCAGCCTTTTAGTAAGCTCATTCCGGGCCTTCTCTGAGCGCTTTTCTTCATTTATTCTATTCTATTTTATTTTCTTCACACATAGCCGACAAGAATTCCATCTTTTTCACGAGTTAGTTAATAAGCTTATACATTCTCATTTTCTTAGTTCAAATAAACAAATCCTGCAGGGCTGAAGCGGAACTGTTTTCATTGTCCTTCCCGTTTCAGTTTGGACACTCACCGCCACTACGTGATGGGTCCTACGTGCTCTGCATATTAACTAAGATAAACATGTTTGCATGACAACTTTCAGAGTTATAAATACATTTTAAAACTAACAAGACCCCAATACAGTACTTGAGTTACATTCAGCCGTCGAACAGTGACACAATTCTAAAAACCCTTTAAATGCAAATTAGAAACTAGAGGTTACAAATTATAAGTAAAATACTGCAAGTAGTTACTGGGCAGTGGTACATCATTACTTATGAATCCAGCATAGAAAAATAAGAAAAATGGTTTCCATTTTAAGTTGGGGTTGTAAGTTGTAAATTGGCATCATTTTTTAACAGGAGTCATTTCCGCAATGCACCCCCGGTCCTCCCCCCAATGCATCTGCCAAAATAATATACATGTAATGACAGTATAACGTGACTTATTTCTAAACAATCTTTTCCCTTACTGGATTCCGAGAATTGTTTGTGAAACGTGACTACTTCAACTGTTGGTCTACAGTAATTTTCTGTTTTTATAAAACTGGCACCAGTAACTGGGTTTTAGGTTTTAGTTTTTACTTCTGTCTGATACTGCATTTAAAGCCCTCAGTTCTCACTATCCCGGGGTCACTATCCAAGTGAATATGTTTCAAATATGACGGTGTGATGTACCAATAGTGCATAATTCCTTTCCTGTAAGGAATGACTGATTCACACGTGGAGAGTGATTTACAATGTAATTTTAACGTACAGAGAGAAATTTGCTGTCACAATTGGGGAGAAATAACCATTATTAAATGGACCAGTGCGCACGCCGACCGCATATCTTTGCAATTCCCTTTTGGAAGGAGGGGACATGGGGGTTTCCGATATTCAGCTTTTTTTCAAGCGGTATTTCGGTAATTTTGATTTTGATGTGCGGTATTGCGGTATCGTCCAGCCTTGCGGTATACGGTTTTTCATCCTTTTGGTTAACGGTATTCGGTAAAAGGAGATCCTTCACGGTATTGCGGTACCATTTATTTTCGCTCTCCTGTCTAATGCAGGTCAATACAATGTGCAGTAAATACCGAGGAAGGGGACTGTCGGCTTTGACCTCGCCACTTTTCCCGCGGTCTTTGACTCTCGTTCCTCGTTCTTTTCTCCTAAACCGCATAGAAACGCTTGCTACGCAGGCTAATAAAAGTTAATATTTTAAAACTTTAAACTTAATGGTAAATGATCACACAATCTATGACAAAATTGGAAGGGCATCCAATGACCGGGCTTTTCGATCGTTGTACTCTCGTGAGTTCTCTCGGTGTGGTGTTGATCTGTCTTGCAAAGTTAATGTTCACGAAGTACGATTAGCTTTGCAGTATTCTGGTTGTAGAATTTAATATGTCTATATTTACCCAACGCAAGAGGGTTATGGAGCGCGGCGGTTAGTGGGGAGCGAGTTAAATTCTACACCGGGAAAACGGGGGGAGGGAGGGAGGACGGGGGGCCTCTAGCCTCCCTCGTTTTTTTTTTCTTCGTGAATTTTTCTCCCGTGCCCCACTATCTGAACGCCTGGAACAGGCCTCCACCTCCATGAAAACATGCCCTAAATTATACCCTGTTTTAACTTTTCGGGCCAATTAATGATCCGTAATTAACGAGTCGAGTTTACGTACGCCGGGAAAGAAATTGAAACCTGCGATTAGGCAATTTTTTTTTTTTTGAGAAGAGAAGAGAAAGCCTAGTATAACACTTCTGGATTTTTGACAATGGGGTAGTGTTCCATGAGGTGCTGCAGTGGAAACACGCGCGTCCTCCATATGTTTTGGTTTTTATGGCTGGGGCATAATAGCGAACGGGATGACGATCGTAGTGCTCTTGATGGATAGTATTCCTTAATCAGAGGTTCTAGATATCCAGCAGACTGTCCATTCAGGATTTTATGTGTGATCAGAAGAAACTTAAAGTTAACCTGGTTAACCCACATCATCATAGAGTTCAAAAGACGTACAGAAATAATTTTATTTAACATTTTGCACTTTTAATTTGTTCATATTTTGTATACAGTAAAACCTTTTGTAATCATTTCCTGTTCGAGCTATATAAAGCTCAGGTATATTAAGACGGGCATTCCTGTTCGCTTCATCGTCGTTCGTCTTGTAAACGAACGTAGCCTGCGTAGCAAGCGTTTCCGTTTAGTTTCGGAGCAAAACAAGACCGAGGAGCGGGATTTTCGGTTTTGACCGCGCGAGAAATGAAACGTACGAGAGCCAACTTCCTCGTTCTTTGCTCCTAAACCGCACAGAAACGCTTGCTACGCAGTCTAAAACGAACGGGAAGCAGAGAAATACCTGGCTATCAAAAGCATCATTGAAATGTGAGCTTCAGTTCCTCCTTTCAGTTTGGATATCCTCTCTTGCGATAACTTAATACGCAAATATCACTCATTTCCGTGAGTCAGATTTAAGCGGGGCAACCCACGTCTCACAGTTTCTGTTGAATTGTTTATTGTTCATTGTTCATTCAGTTAGTTTTTGTTTCTTCGAAACCAACAATTCATTACTGAAACTCGAGTAATGGTTTTCAAAACCTGATCTACTTCAGTGGAACCTCGATAACGAACCTTTATATATCGAAGTCCTCGTCTGCCACTCGGCCGTTTTTAGTGTCGTCACGCAACATTCCTTTGGGGAGGAGCGTTGTGTGACGACACCAAAAAACGGTTCGTCAGTAGCAGACTGGTCCTCTGTATAACGAACGATTTTCTTCAGCCCGGCCAAAATTACAGTAAAATGTATGGCACAGAACCTCGATTTAACAAACCTCTATGAAACGAAATCCTCGTTCTAACGAACACAATCCACAAGAGCAAACGTAAAATTTACGTCGATATAACGGATAAATGTCGGCATGTGATAAAAGATTGGGGATTGTGGAGGCGTGTGTGGCCGAGCGGTTAACATCTCGAACTGCGGCTCTGGAGGTCCGGGGTTCAAGCCTCGCCCGTACTTTATTCCACTTTGTCTCTCTTCGTCCAGGTATATAAATGGGTACCAGCGACATACTGCTAGTGGGGTGACTAGCATTTCTTCTGGGGGGAGAAGCAATACTTCTAGGTGCTTCATGCTAATGAAACCGGGATAAGCTCTGGCCGTTTTACCAAACAGACCAACAAGGATAAAAGTTATGTGTACGGTAGTTTTAAGCAGTTTCGTTTGCCTGTTCCTGAGTTTCTTTTGCCGTAGCTATGTATAGCTCCATTCTGAAATGTTAATACTACAGTAATTTTTCAGATCCGGAAATGCTGGGGTTTGTAAATTAATTATTAACTATACCTCGATATAACGAACATTTTGGTAGTTTTCCCGAACATTCGTTAAATGGAGGTGTTCTATATAACGAACCCTCGATCGAACGAACAAATTTCCCCAGTCCAGTTTCCTTGCATCGGCACTTCGTCATTTAAATCAGGTTCCACTGCATACGTCCTTAACTGAAAACAGGATTGAGCTTCTGTTAGGGCCTGTTTACATGGAGGTGGGGGACCCCAGGTAGGTGAGGTAACCCGCTTAGGTGGGGTAACCCGCCTGTCCATATAATCTCTCATTTTCATTTGATCACGTTTACGTGATAGGTGGGGTGACCCGCCAAGGCGGGTAGCCCGGTCTACCAGACCGGGTTACCCTCTCAGCCGGGGTCACAATTTGTCATGTAAACGTTTCAAGGTGGGGTA